CTTGGTCAATGCATGTGTATTAAAACACACAAATTGTTCTTTTGTTACCGAAACCTTCTGATGGGTCGCCAGTAAAGCACGCAAGCTAATCTGGATAGCGTAGAAAATTTGCTGTTTCTGACTGCAGCGAGGAAGAAAGCATCGTCAGCGGATATTTTACCACTATATGATTAGAAATACCTCATAACCACATACAAACCATTCATTCATAAACAGTTTCTAAATACTGCGTGAAGAAATAAAATAATTCTAAGAATTAAATAATTCACTATACTGTATTTTTCTATATTGTCTGACGGTGATTTTGGACCATTGAATATTCTATTGCTCCTAAGTGGCGCTAATCTGATTCTGTGACTAGTTGTCATTTCCTGTAACAACTTATGAACAGGGCATTCAAAAAATATAGAGACCCCAGCTCGAGAAATTTTGACTCAGAGGGCTCAGATAGTTACGAAATTAGCGTAGACCCATGCGCAGCAGACATTGAGCAAAACCCAGTGCATTCAAACAAAACAGATTTGAATCGCCAGCAACTTAGGGTTTTAGTCGAGTCACCGGTTTCAGCTGCCCTCGATGCACAGGCAAGGGCATTCAATGAAAGAGCTGCAGCTCTAAAAGCGAGCTTCAACCGGCAATTTTTTGAGATATCAGAAAAAGTAACAGATCTTAAGGTTACACCGCCCCAGTTAAAGAAATATAAATCGTAGAAGGCATTCGTTGCGACGAGCCTCTAGATACGGTTAAGTGTCTGGCAGAGTTTACAGGGCCGCAAGAAACTTGTGTTTCATGCGACAAGCTGCAATGTCAGTAAATAAAGTATTTAGATGATATAATGAAAAAATTAAGGGAATCGGTAACGCGGTTTTGTTTTCGTTTATGAAGTTCCTCATCCTTCCTATTACATTCGTCCGCACCAAGGGCTTAAAGAAGTCCGCCCAGTCGATAATCCATTTACCACTCACTCCATTCATGGCACTACCAGGATTTCAGACATGTGCTATGTATCAATGTTTGGAAAAAAAGCTTCTTTCAGAAATTTTAACATTTGATGGGATTATAGGCCTCGACCTGTTAAAACAAATCGGGGCAGAGCTTTGCGTTAGCTCCAGGCAATTCAAGCTTGGTAAGTTGTAAGTCTGGCTACCACCACAAATAACGCAGAGGCCAACCGAGAGAAAATTTCTTTTTTGGTGAACGGAGGGAAGTACAAATTTTGTCGACTTCCTCTTGGCTTACAAGCGCCGCCAGCATTTTGCATAGGGCGATTGATAACATACCGCGAGAACAGATCGGCAAGTCCTGCTACGTCTACGTCGATGACTTCATCAATTTCTCAAAAGATGACTCGCATGTCAGACATGTCGACTGGGTGCTGAAGAGCATGTATGAAGCAAAAATGAGGGTATCTGAAGAAAAATCTCGCTTTTTTAAGAAGAGTGTATATTTCTTTGGATTATACAGACCCGGACAAGGTTAAGGCCATTCAGGACTTCCCAAAGCCCAAGACAGTTTTTGAAGTCAGATCGTTTTTGTGACTCGCAAGCTATCATAGATGCTTTATTAAAGATTTTGCATCAATCCTAACGGGGGGAAATAGGTCAATCTGCAAACATAGATCACGAAAAATTCCAGTCGAATTTTGTGATCACCAACGCAGTGCTTTTCAGATACTGTGGAACATTCTGGCATCCGAAGATGTCAAACACGCATTGACGAGTCTAACGCTCGCACGTTTAACAAACCAGGAAAAGTTAATCTAGTTGTCGATGACTTGTCAAGGCAACAGCTCAACGCTTTAAGACAGCAAGATGCTGACTCATGCATCGCAACAGTTCATAGTGAGCTCTCCTTGACTTTCACCATTGAGACCACTGACAAGCTCTTGGACTGTTTCAAGAACCTGATAATCCTTGACAAGGCGAGTTTTTCACAAAGCGTAGCTTTATCATATTTGGAAACAAGAAGCGACAGTCCCTAACCTGCAGAAAATCACTTCTCGAGGAATTAGTGAAAGTACTCAAGTCTAATGTTGTAAGTGCGCTACACTGCGATTTACACACTTTAGCGCTGGTGCAGGACAATTTGATGCGGAAATTTCCGACTATTAAGTTCTGGCACTGTAAAAATCGCGCTATAGACATTTTGAGAATCAGTTAGAGAAGAGAAATTCTGTTCACAGAACATGTAAAACAGGTCCTCTCAGTGTACTTTTTCCCAAAAATGGCTAAAATTGCCAACGAAATTGTACAAAACTACAAGACATGCGCAAGGTCTAAATACGACAGACACCCTAGGAAACAAAAAATTGGTTAGACACCGATTCCTTCACATTTTTTTTTACATATAATGGCAAATTTTCGATATTTGCCATAGTTCAACCAATCGCATCTATAACAAAAGGGGACTTGAAATAACCCTTTTTACAGCTCATGAATTTCTTCCCGAGGGTTACAATAATCTATTGCGACAATGAGGCAGCTTTGAACTTCCGGACTCGCTGCTGATGAATAGTTATGAAGTCAGCATTTCAAATAGTACCCTACTGGCATTCGCTAGATGTTGTAAATTGACAAAAACATTAGCCACACTGTAGAGGTAATCTTGTTGTCTACAGTGGAGTACAACAAGACAATCTATTTGGTCACATAAATTTGATCACTCCCAGGCGAATTACAGATGGAGATTCAAAATAAGCTTAAAAGGGCACAGGACATACACAGAGCTAGAGAGAATGACTTGCCGTGGAAGCTGGCCTGGTACAAGTACAACCTAAGGTGGGGATTCCCATTTACTTTTAATTTTGTTGTGCCATTTGGCATTTTTTATACCCTGAATCCATTAAAAACGACAAAAATTGGTATTATGTATTTGTGCAAATGTATGTACCAGGCAGATGGAAGAATCTCCTACCCTATAAAGTATATATATTCTTGAACAGCGTCAATAGTCGAGTCGATCTAGCCATATCCGTCTGTCTGTCCGTCCGTTCATTCGTTTTTATAAATGCAATGATATAAGAATCTATAAGCGCTAGAGAATTGAAATTTTAGCCGTAGGTTCTTCTACTACCTGCGCATATCGACTTTGTTTCTGATAATCGATAACTTACACCGTTTCCAACCAATCGACAAAAATCGATTTCGAAATTCCAAAGTGGGTAAATAATAAAAGCAAGAGCCACCAAACTTGAACTTGGTGTTGTTGTTGTTATTGTTGTTTCTTTATTTATATCAGTCATTGTGTTATCTATGGTTGGTTTGTTGTGATTTGGGCTAATGTTCTTGTTTTTGTTGTTTTTTGTTCGGATGTTTTTGAGTTACTATACTGTCCCGCATTCGCTACTGCAGCGTAGGAAGAATGGCTCGATTGCTTTGTTGTTGTTTCATTGAACAGTAGTTTAGCTTCGCGCATTGTGCATTTTTTTGTAGTCTTGATTTTCAGTATTTCTCTTTATTGCTAATATTTGGGGCATTGGCAAGAGGAGGATGGATGTTCTTCTGAGCAGTTAATGCATTTCGATTGTGTGCAGGTGTCCGGCGAATGGGGACGTAACGCGCAATTAACACAATGTGGTTCGATTTTGCAGTGTTTGGCTGTGTGGCCTAGCAGCTGGCTAGATTAACACCTCAGTGGGTTTGGTATGTACTCCCGTACCTTTACCGCATGCCATGCAGTATCAATTTTACTGGGAAGGTGGTAGAGATATAAAGTGACCAGATTTACTCGAGGCTTTAATACCTATGTCCGTGGTTTTGGTGAGTTCGAAGATTTCACTGACTTTTTGGGACCGCAGCTCTTCGATGATTTCATTGTTGGGGATATCGGAGAGATATGGAGCGTATATTGAGCCTTTTACTTGGTTTAGAGTTGCATGCATGTTGCATGTGATGTCGCAAATGCCCGGTAACGAAGGTGAGTTCATGAATTTGTTAGCCTCGCTTTGATTTTTAACTAGCATCAGTAAGTTGCCGTCTTGCACGCTGGTGATGGAGGTGATGTTTTTATACCCTGAACCCATTAAAAATGGGTATAAGGGTATATTGTATTTGTGCTAAATCAAAATGTATGTAATAGGCAGAAGAAAGTATCTCCGACCCCATAAAGTAAATATATTCTTGATCAGCATCAATAGCCGAGTCGATCTAGCCATGTCCGACCGTCCGTCCGTCCGTATGTATGAACGCAAGGATCTCAGAACCAATAAGAGCTAGAGACTTGATATTTTAGATGTGGGTGCTCCTAGTGCCTGCAGATCGAGTTTATTTCCGATAATCGATAACTCACTCCGTTTCCAAGCAATCGATAAAAATCGATATCGATACCCTGTTTTTGGGCAATTTTGGTAAATAATAAGAGCTAGAGTCACCAAACTTGACATATAGCTTCTAAAATAGAATATATATGTGCATTTGATGTTGGGAGAAGCGGGTTCAGGGTATCCCCTAGTCGCGAGCTCCCGACTAGAACCTAATACTTGTTAGATATTAAACGTAGTGCGCTGTACACGGCAATACAGGAGAAATCTGAGATTTTGTTCTCATTGTTTTTAGATACGATTTTAATGTAGTCGGGGTTTAGGGAGTTATTGTTGGAAGTGCAGGGAATGTTATGTATATTTTTCACGGGCGGGGGGGGGGGGGGGGGGGCTATCAAAAAGCAACGCAAGCTGATTGCCCCTCAGATTAGAAGCCGGAGGGGGAGACCCCATAGTTAGATGAACGAAGCTTTAGTATAAGTTCGGGCATTGCTAAAATTGACAGCGAGGAATCGCTAACATCTACGTATACGTTTTCAATGCTATACACTGCGTTTCATGCAATGCTTGTCTTCATACAACATAATATGATGGAATTACTCCACACATAGGCATTAAGATACTAGAGTAGCACAAACTTAGGTGTTATATTCATATCTTCTTATTTTTTTACGTCGATTACCACCGCAACAATAAAACTTACAAGCTACACGCATTCGGACTACATACATACAACAGACAGTGACGTAAAAAATGCAAGTGCTTTATTTATGAATTTATAGGCTTTGTAATAATCTTAGTTTAAAGGGTTTTATGACAGGCAATTAACAATCAGAATGTCTAGCATGCGTCTGGATCCAAATCAAAGTGCAAACAAGCAACAAGAGCGATTCAACTGTTTTTCAGTGGCCCAAATTTACGCACCCATCGATGAAAATATCTCTGTCTCACCGCAAACCCTTGATCAGCTCATTCACACAGAGAGCTTACAATTCAGAAATACTAAATTTTTCAAATCTTGTCAAATTTCCATCCAAAAGGATACCAACACGCACACAACCGCATAAATGCTTCCATCCATACAGAAAAGTGTGTAAGTGTGCGTGCTTGGCCGGCCCAAAAAGTTATCATGCACAGTTCAGGTACCCTTATCTTAATGCCGACAGTTTTTCTGGAATAATAAATAATAAAATTAATAAACTAGTTCCGTATGCGTCGAATGTTAACACCAGTTCGTTTGATAGCGAATAAAATGGCGTAGATGACGGCTGATCCCTTTAAAAATTTGTTCAACTGCTTTGTTCCTGAAGTCCAGAAAAATATGGAAGATAATGGTTTGGAATATAATATACGTTTAGTCGTTGATAATCTGCCTAGCCACCGAGTAGTGGATCATCCAAATATTCAATGCTGTTTTTGTCGCATTTTAGTACCTCTCTGATTCAACCACTTGTTCAGGATATCATAGCAACACCCGAAATGTACTTCATAATACAAGCGTTAAAATACATTTCATATTCAGTGGTAGAAAAAACTGTACGGTCGTGAAGGTGTGAAAAAAGTTATCGATTGTGGATTGTATGACACATGCTCCCTTTGTCATCAAACAGTCCGTAAATGCTTACTGAAAACAAAATTTTGCTAGCATGCATTAAAAGTATTTTTTAGTACTAAATCAACTGTGAATTCTGAAGTTATAACTATATTATTTCAAGTGGCGAAGATTTTAACAACATGCAAACGTCTGACATTGAAGAATTGATGCAAGAAATTCCTTTGAATGAAGACGACTAATAAAAACATCAATAATGACGAAGTAATTTTTTTTTTTTTAACCAAATTTTAATTTTTTTGTTATTATGAAGAACAACTTAAATTAAATTTATTAGACTATTTACAAACTACTTATTCTACTGATAAACCTAATATACAAATTTACAAGGATTACTCTATAAATCGATCTGGGATAATTTCGAGAGAGAGAGAGAGACCTTCACAATCTCCTCCGCGTTCGGTCTCTTCCAACTCTACGCGTTTTTAGAAGACGCCTAGCCAGACGATTAAGCTGGTTTTTAAGATGCTGAAACTCCAATGTTGACCACGACAGCTGCGGCGGGAGATATATCGATATGTGCTCTCTCACTAGGATGATCCGCCTTGTGAATTTTGTAGCCTGAATAAAGATGGATACACCGGCCTTTAGCCAGGTTTCTGTAATAAGCATCACATCAATGTCCAGGGATACCACGGCCATTCCACAACCCGCAAGGTCTAGTGAACTGTGCATCAATTTTTTAGGTTCAAAAGATTCAGAAACATTTAATTAAGGAACTGATACGTCTCCTGAATGTTCTTAAACATAGCTTTTAGAGTGTCGACTTTCACCGTGAGAGCCTCTATTGCCGCCTTCAACCTTGAACTAATATGGGGTGGGGTTTCCTCCCACCAAGGCTGCAGGAATACATTGCTGGCGGTCTTTTTTGCTACTGAAATTACTTTTCAGTTCTATAGTTGTGCTTACTTTTGGCGTTCGTTCCTGCGTTCTAGCATTGAAAATATTGCATCCCTTATGCCAAGCCTCATGATTTTTACCGCAGTTGATACAGCAGTGCTTCTCAACCAAAGTTTCTTCGCATTAAACTGTTGGGTGATTTTAAGCACACTTTCCACTGGTATAAGGCCTCATACAATAGTTTTTGGTATGTCCAAACCTTTGGCATCTGTGGCAGAGTATGGCGTCAAAATTCTTTTTATATATTTCCACCAGGACTCTTTGTCGCCCTATTTGCTTGATTTTCAGCGCTTCCTTATTATTAGGCTCGCGAGCCAAACCAATGAAAAAAAAATTATTTTCTATAAGTTCCTTCATAGCTTCTCCGTTTTCCTGTTGTCGGACCATACGAGGACGAGGATTGTGGATACAAGGAACAGTGTGTCCGTGTCGCCTTAATTCCTCCCTAATATTATCTTCTGGGGTTGTGCTACCCAAATTGCGGGTGATAAGCCTGAAGGCCTTGCCTTCCTTCAGTTGGTATGTGAAGTGGTGTGCATTTTTTTCTTTGAGAAAATGCACTAGACTACGATAAAGATTAGAGTTTTAAACGTCAACTCTTACTTTTCCATGTCATCCAACGTGGAGGGTTTAATTATCTGACCCAATGACAGCAACGAGCTCTGCTACCTGGGTCACATTGTTAACATTTTCGATAAAGATGGGGGGTGGCTTCCTTCCTATTTCCATCTCCTCTGCCAGAGCCTCGGCATGAGCTACTAATTATTCCTCTGCAGGATCATCGTTCTCTATTGAAACTAATGCCTTAGTTAAACGTGGAGGAAACTTATGCTTTTTATTGGTCGTCATCCAGCTGAGTGCTTTCTGGGATGACTTCCCTTTTTCCGGAGTATTTTTGGAAGGATCGTTTGTAGCTATACTTATGTAGCTATCATTTGGGATGGTGCATGCTCCTCTACTTGAAGGTGATGTGGAACTGTAGGTTGACACGTAGGTGGAGTTTGCCGACTTCAATGTGCATGTCGTTGCAGCAAAATTTCTTCTACTGCATTTAATTATAGGGTTTAAATTGGTATTAGTGGAAATCATTCCCCGAATTCCCGCAGATGTAGCGCCAACAATTCTCATTATTTCCACAAAATCTGGTCGGAGAATTCACGGCTAAGACGGAGCGGGTGTATCATCCATATTAGAAAATAGCAAAACTTCTACTTTGTGTTTAACGAGCAGTGGTGAAATACTGGAGCAACAAGACTTTACTCCAAAAATAACCAGTATTTTTGGGAAAGTCAGTGTTCTCAAAGAGTGATTTATTGTGATCGATTCACGAGATGAACGCTCAGCGCTATTATTGTTTAAATCTGTTGAGCAGTACTGGCAAGCTTCCTATTGGTCATTAATATGTTCGCATTCACTCGCGAAAACTCTAAAGTTCTTACGTACTCGGATAAGAGAGGAATTAGAACTAACCTCATGCAGATTTACTCGCGCAAGAGTTACAACACCGGCACGTCTTGACTTGTATTTTTAGTAACTATAATAATTAAATTTAGCACTACACTTGAGCTGCCAGCACAGCATTCGTTATTTAAAGAATAAAGAAAGAATATTTGTTTTTAGTGCCCTGGGGCTGCTGAGGTTAGTGTTTTTTTTAATTTTAATAAATAAATTGTTCTAACCGGCGTACGGGATCAGATATGCAAACGTCCGATCGTCACAAGAGCTTTCATTAAACTGATGACAAAGTGAAGGTGAAATTTAAGGTTGAAAGGTTTGAAATTTGCTACAAGCATGGACAAATATTTTCTCGCTCATAATCCTCACATGGAACGTGCATTACAATTTCAACTTAATCTTCACTTTTGTGGCGCTGGATATGAAGAATTAATAAACAACTTGAGATTCCAAAAAACAGCAGCACATAAAAGATTCTTTGACAAAATTCAAAATAACAACCGAAGCTGTTAATGACAAACAATATTCTTAACTTAAATCAATCATTGGTCTAGTCCGTAGAAAACGTCTTATCAAGTGAAGATGAATACTTGCGAAACTAGTTGTCTTTATAATTTTAATTAAGATTTGTTTATGCTGTACTGGAAATTACCAATATCTTTATTTAATTTTTTTTTAAACAAAAATTTATTGTTTTATAGATTTGTTGGTTAAATGATATTTTTAACAGGGAAATAATAGGAAAACTGTAGCAGATGCAAAGGTTTATCTTTTTATTACGCGTATGTGCGTCTTTAGCGTTCGATAGTTCGTAAGCGACAGACAATGGTGTACTTAAGAATAAGAATAAGCACAAGGCAAAAACAAAAGACTTCAGTGTGACGGGGATATTGATTTTTTCCGACACTAATGCATATTTAAATGCTCCTTGTTACCAATTTGGTAGTTGATAACTAATTAATAGCAAACCATTTGTTCGTCTGCACATTTGTAGTTAGTACATCGGCAACCATATCATTTGTTAACGCCAACAGATTTTGTTACTTCGATTCACATGCAATCAGCGCGATTGCTGCACTTATAAAGACATATCCACTATACGATTTAGAAGGTAAATTTGATTATAGGGTAACAAAGATTTTAGTGTACCCTACGCTCTGTACCCGTGATGGCACGGAGGAGGTCACAGCAACCCCTTATTCAGACCTCTTGTGGTTAATCGACGACCTTGCAGATTTTTATTTTCGTTAAGTACTGGCGACGAAGCAAGAAAAAGTTTACCTAATAATAAACATTTTAGTTTTTGACTTCCATATTATTTATTGCCTTTTTGCTTTCATATAGTATATCTTTGAAAACAATATATAAGAAAACGAAAACGTTAACGATCAGTTAGAACTGAATTATGACCACGAAAAACTTCTTTTAACTCAAGGAATTAATGAAAACAGAAATCCTACTACCTGCATAATGATAATGGACTTCGAGACTCGAATCACATTAAATTCCTATATCGGGCAGTGCTGAAGGCTCGCCAAATTAGAATCATTATCAAATATACAAACCCTTTGGCTGGCTGAGTTAGCTAGTGAATACTTAAAATTCAAACAAATAAATCCATCGATAGGTCCGATGGGCCCATCGATGACAGTCTTTGTGTAGCAATTCAAATTATATTTCAAATAATTTGGGATATGCTGTACACTCATCGACTAATTCGCATAGTACTTAGAAGAGTTTAGCTATTTATATTAAAATATTTACCTTATCAAGTTATTTTTAAGGATTCTATTTCAAATTTACAAATGACAATTAATCTTGGCTCTGTTGAATTTCCAAAAAAGGAAGTATCTAACTTCTTTATGCGCATCCTACATGCGAACATATTGAGGGTATTTTCGTGGGATGTGGACACCCAAATGCTTCAATCTCTTGCCAGCGACGCTCGTTTGATAGGGCTTAAGTCAAAACTGCGTACAGCCTCCACACGTGCAATTAGTTATGTGGGTCTTGTTTGTTCTGCTCCCGAATCAAAAAGAATGAAGCGTAGCAATGAGCCCACTACCTTCCTTCAATCTAAGTAGGATCACATATACAAATACAATTCTAGCTCACCACATCTGAATTATAACGAAGAAATGTGCTGATCTATCAGGCTTTCCCCTATTCTAGCGTGGATGCGAACGAGGCAATGCACCGTTTGTGAAATAGCGCATTTGCAGCATCGTGCGAAAGCAAATAGCGTCACCCATGGGACAAATTCATAAATTTCATGTGACTTTTCTGACGCTAAACGGGTGCGATGGGAGGAATCAAAGAATTTTTAACCATCTGGTTCCTAAAATCTGCTTACCAGTGTCTTGATAGTAAAGTTTCGTATTAGCCGTGCCTTTTAGATACTCTGTATCGTCATCCACCCTGTAAGGGCTGGTACTCGTTGTGCTAGATTCGCAACCGATTTAGTATGTCCGGTCTAGTTGTCATGGCAAATATATCAAAAAACTATTCTTTTCAGATTCAAGACTCTACTAGGGAATTCACCTCTCATCCCTCCGGTTATTTTATATATACTTAATCTAAAAGCTCACTGTTCAGGTAGGCAGTAGCAACGTCCATTTGATGCACAAGCAACTTATATTCGACTGGCAACGCCTTAATCTGTCAAACAGATAAGTATCTCAATACTAGAGAGAACGTCTCAAAAAAGTCGACGTCATATTGCTGTGCTCACCCTTTGGCTATTACATATCCTTTCTTGTCAACTTTCATGCAAAAAACCCATTTGCAACCAATAGCTTTCTTGTTGACAAGTTGAATTATAGCTTCAAGTTACCTTATCTCCTTCTGAA